GTGAGAGAGAGAGAGACAGAGAGTAGACTGTATGTTAATGGGTAAAAGGCTTTCCTTTTTGTCTTTCCCGCAACATATCATGACTGAACTTGGTTGGTAGCTGTGGTGAAGTGCCCGTTTCTCTGGTTGTTACATAAAGTCCAGGCTGAAGCCAGGCACCCCCTCGTTGCCATGGCACCAATGTTACATAATGGGTCAGGCCATGGGGCAGGGTTTAGGGAGGCTAATGTTTTGGATGTGTGCAAGTGACACATCCTCATGAACAGGCTAACGCATAATGACAAGTGGGTTTTTAGGAAGTCATGGCATATTTATGTTTGTATGTTTTCATTGTTGAAGTGTGTTTGTGTTCATAGTATTGTGCAGTGGTCAAACCTCTGGCCCCAGCTGAGGGTCAGAGGGATTTGTGTTGAGAGCTCAAGTCTAGTCACATGATCTCCAGCCGACCCATCACACTGTTGCTGTAAGCCTGTGTGTGTGTCCATGTGGGATGTGTTTGTTCATATGTATGATTTCTTTTTTTTCTTTCTCGCATGCGAGCCCATGTGAACACACTAATGCACGTGCATCGAGTCATTACTAACTGTGTTTTAACTGTTTTTAACTGTGTTTGTGTGTGCGTGTGCATGCACCATGCTCAGCTGTCAAGGAGGCCCAGTGGCAGGCGCGTGAAGAGCGTGCTAGGCAGCACTATGAGAAGCAATTGGAGGAGAGGAAGAGAAGGCTGGAGGAGCAGAGGATAAAGGAGGACAAGAGACGGGCTGCCGTGGAGGAGAAACGACGGCAGAAACTGGAGGAAGACAAGGTCTGACTAACATGGCCTTTTACACTCTGGTGCATCATGATCTTGTCACTCTTCATGTAAACACACATGCACAGACAACTTCAGTGCAATAACAATAATTCTCATCCTCATGAACAGGCTAATAAATGTCTGTATTTAAACGCTCTATGCACCTTCCCTCAGTGGGAAACTTATACAGAAATACGTACTTCTTGTTTCTTGTTTTGTTTTTGAACCTTTGATTTGGGCTTGATTTCAGAAGTTAATGAAGCTTGTCAAAGGCTAAAAGTCGTGGTTGAACAAGAGATGAAACAAGCATTTGGTGACCACCATGACTTGAGGCTTATGTCAGTCAAGCAAACACTTTCCAAAACAAGCAATGCTTTTCATCATCACTGCTGTTTTTCTTCATGGAATAATTATCCTCAAACTTTACCGCCAAAACAGGGAAAAATTATTATTAAGGCAAGGCAAATGTATGTATATAGCACATTTCATATCCAAGGGAACCCAGAGTGCTTTACAGAGTCCCGGAGCGATGGGAATAACACACTAAACACTAGAATATTTCAAGTGAAAAGTTGGACATTAACTGTGTGGAGTTTTGTTTAGTCTGAGGTTTTTCGGAGCCAACAATGCCTTTGCATAATTTCCTATTAAAGGAGTTTTACGTTTCCTTTTGGGGAGTTTGTAAATCACGTCACAGTGAGTTCAGGCTCTAATTAGGTTATTGATTTAATGAACTTTGGAACGATGTTCAGTCAGAGACCCACAGCATAGTTCTGACAATGTGTTGTCGCAGTGTTTTTTGGCATTGCAACAGCCTAGAAAATGTCTTAATTCTGGGTACTAAAAAGATAGACTGCTGTCCTTTTTAGCACGTTGCATAATCACAATTTGATTTTATCTGCCAGGTACTTGTACAACTGGTGTCCATTAAGAGAAAATGATCAATAATCTGCTCCAGTCTTGCAGCAGTATTTTGCATGCTGGGGCGCTGTTTTGTTCATGCTGATTACGTGACAATCTTGTTGTTGTTTTTGTGACTGAAGGCTCGTCATGAGGCGGTGATACGTCGGACATTGGAGAGGAGCCAGAGAACCAGGCAGAAGCCCAACCGATGGTCTTGGGGAGGGGCACTGCACACAAACACTCCCAGCACACCAGCCGGTACTTTCACACATCACACACCTACATACAGTATCTGCAGTACACTACTCTGTCCCACAGTTATTACAGTATGTTGACATGTAGGTGACATGTTGCCCTACAGTCTCCCAGTTTGTTTGAGAATATGTTTGAGTATTGTTGAGCCAGTATAGTGTTCCTCCTGAAAGTACCAGTGCTTTTAGTTTTATTGAACACTTATTTCATCTTCCTGATCTCTGACAGTGTGTCTCCTGTGTAAATATGTCTGCCTGCCTCTGCGTGTCAGTATTGTTCTGCCATGTTTGTATATGAACTTTTCAGATCCCCTGGCCTCTGTTGTTACTGCTGACTCACACCCTGCTCTGCCTCTCCCCCCCTCTCTCTCCCTTATTCTCAATCTCTCTCTCTCTCTCTCTCTCTTCTCTCTCTCTCTCTCCTCACTTCTTCCTTCTCATCCTCACTCACTCACTCACTCACTCACTAATCCTTCTTTCATCACTCATCACACTCTTCCTCTCTCTCTCTCACCCTCTCTCTCTCTCACCCTCTCTCTCACCCTCTCTCTCTCTCACCCTCGCTCTCGGATCTCTCTCTATCTCCTCTCCACTCTTTGTTTCTCTGCCATTGTCCTTTCCCCTCCTGGTCCAGGTTTTGTCGAGTCGGCTTTCCTCTATCCACTCGACCTTGCTGGACTGGAGCACATGCAGAGTGCTTTCAGTCTCTACCGCAGATACGGAATGACCTCCCAATGTGAATATTATAGCACTGTGTCAGTTAGCCAGCCAGTGTTAGACCGCTGGCTCTAGCACTGTAACTGTCCAGCACCGTTATTAGCTCACTGGCATTAGTGTAAATGTAGGCCAATGTAAATGGCATGATTAGTGTTTGTTGTTTTATTTGCATGTAGCAATCCAGTTTGTACTTTAAAGTTATATCCCAAGACACAGGATTTTTCATTCAAACCATTTTAGTTCCATTTTTAGATGACATAAGACCCATTTAGCACTAATTCATTTCCTAATATGTTTCTCCCTTTAGCAACGTTGGTAGATTTTCCATTTCTAACCTGATTTAACCAAAATAGACTGTAGTAACCCTCCAAAGAGAGATGGCTTGCTCCAGCTGTCTTTCCTCCCATGTTCTTTATCTATAAGTCCACCTATTCACCATGCCATTAAATTGCTTTTATCATGTTTCTTCTTTGTCTCTAGATGCTGACAGGCGGTCAGTGTCCACGATGAATTTATCCAAACACACAGACCCTGTTATTACCAAGCGTCTCTCCTCTTCCTCTGCCACACTCCTACACTCACCAGATCGAGGTAATGGAAAAGAACATTACACAAGTAAATGTAAAGAAGTATAGTATCCACCTTATGTAATTTGTGTTTGTTGACTAAATGTGATTTAGGGGAGCAGTGACATTGATGTGGAAAGAAAATGGAACGTTGAAACTATAGTTCAACGTTTTAACACTTATTCCCTTTTGTGCCATGAATTAGATGAAAAGACTGGTACTACTCCTATGTATTCATGGTAAATTTAAAGCTACAGACAGTTAGCTTAGCTTAGGATAAACAGGGGGGAAACTGCTAGAGTCAACCTAAACCTGAATGTAAAAAAGCAGCCTACCAACACCTCTATAGTTAGTATATCAATGACAAGTTGTGGTTTTATGAAGGTCTTGTGAGCTTGCCAGGCAGCTGAGACTCCAGGAAGTCACTGTGCCCAGCCAAGAGAAAGTAAACCCTCTAAAACCACTACCTGCTGTTTTTACACTACAACTTTTGTACGGATTAAATAAACAAGATATCATTTAGTAAATTAGTTAGTGGCAGGGGTGCTGGTAGGTTTTAGTTATCTTTAGACTGAACCAGACTATTTCCAGCCTTATTTCCCCCCAGTTATTATGCTAAGCTAAGCTAACAGGCCCTCTGCTGAATCTTCATATTCAACGACGAGTTATAAGACTGATATTCTCCTCATCTAACTCTCAACATAATTCCCAGAATGTAAAACAATCTTCTTTTTCTTTCTTCAATTACTTTTGAAATATATATATATTTTTAAATGCGACTCTAATAAATAGATCACATATTTCTTTGATGTTCATATGTTGCTGACAGGCTTACAGATGAGAACAGCCTCCTCTCCTGTCATTAGCAAAGCTCAGTCCAAACCCCGACTACACCAGGGAAAGACCACCCAGCACAAAAACACAGGTGTTTTCTGGGAACTTTTGCAGTTTGGTCCCTCATATGCTATGTTACACACTATGTTGCAAAGCAAAAAGATCATGGGCTGGAGACTGTTGAGGAATTCCAAAGAAACTCCAATTAAGAAAACACTGGTAGTCCTAGAAGACCTACATACAGAATGATGTGTACAATATTCATAGTATGATAATCAAATCCAGTGTCCCCACTCGGCTAATAGCATATACTATTCTGTACATGTGCATGCGTTAGCACTTCTGTGTTTCATCAGAGGGATCAAGATTTTTTTTTCCCCTCTATCGTGACCCCTTTCTCTAATCCTCTGTAGGATAATCTTTTTGTTTTTGTGGGAACACTGTAACGCTGTTTTTATCCCAGCTGACAAATCAACACCCACATTTCAACAATTGGACATACACATAATTATACATGTAAAATGTAATCATGTGCCACATTTTATGCTGCCAAGACAAATTCAAAGAGAAACATCACACATTGAATTAGTGTAACACAAACTCTGAACTCCTTTGCACAGTTTCCAGCCCAGTTGTATCCCCCTCACTCTGAAACCTGCAACCTGTTCTCTGCTTCATTATCAAAGTGAGCAATGCTGCATGTTTTGCCTGATTATCTGGTTATCAAGAAGATTAATTAATTGGTGCTTTGTCTATAGCAGATAATTAGCTATACATTATGTGCAATATTACAACATCCCTACCCAGATACCAAGGACTCTGCATGGCCAAATATTTGAACTTACTGGCATAAAAGCTTTCAGCTTTCCTTAAAATTATTTGCCAGGTTAATTCACAGATTTCTTGAAGCAGATGCAATATGTCTTTCTTTCCTCACTGTTTTTGAATGCACTGTGTTTGCTCTTGGTTTGTGCTTCACTCGAGGCTGTTTGCTTCCTTTTTATAATTAACAAACTGGTGCATGCAGGTGTAGGTGTAACAAAGCGACCAGTGCATGGTTACCACTTCACTTTAGCCCTCGCCTACACTGCTATGCAGTGTGGGGGAAGGAATGGGTAACAAATACAGTAATTGTGCATCATTTGTAATCTGCTTTGACTGATTGCTTAGGCTAATCAGTAGGTGGTTAATAGTTTTAGTCGTTATCAAACCTCAAATGTTACGTGTGTTCAGGCCTGCGCCGTCTTCCATTGACGCCATGGGAGAGCAACGTGGTGAACCGTCTGCAGCAGCCAACACACTCCTACTTGGCTCGTAGCCGCAGTGCCATGAGTCTGTCTGGAGAGCAAACAGGTAATGTACACACATCCCATATGAGAGACCCCTCCTGGCTCTTACGGTCAGTAGCCAGTGAAATGGATGAGTTTTTGCAAGTGCGCACAAAACAGGGAATCACAACTCATGTGTTTGTGCTGCTTATATATTTGGTCTCTTGACTAGAACCGTTTTGGATGTTAATCAGATTTGGCCAGACTTAAAGCATTACATCGTCTGAAACTTCCTTCACCAGCCTGTATCAGGCACTCAAAGCTCACGCACGCACACACACACGCACACACGCACACACACACACACGCACACACACACACAAACAGAGGAATGATTTTGATCATCGATCAGGGACAAACATACTGTATATAAAAGCAGGCAGGACAAAGTCAACTCCTCCTCAAGTAGAGAGGACCTGTCCCCCTCAGTTTTCACGACTCGTATGCAGAACAGAAGCACACTGAGTTACTCTCGTGGCTGTATGTCCAGAATATTTTCAGCCAGGCTGGTGAGTTTGCAGTCCTCCAGTGCTTTGACCAGCCGGCTCAGCTTGGCTGCTCTCCCCTCCGCCTGGATGAAGCGGCTGAGCAGCTGATAGGCTTGCTCATACAGCCCTTCTCTCTCGTACTCGTAGGCCAGGTTGTCTATGGCCGGACCCTTCAACGCCCGGCAGCTCTTCCCCAGGGCCCTCCCTACATGTTTCCACTGACGGCCCACTCCGTTGGAAAAGCTCTGAACATCTGCCTGTGTCAGCATTCGGTCCTCTGACGGGCCAAAGAATAAAGGACGAGGGGGAAAAAATACAATGTGAAATGTACTTAATGGTGATTACATAAACCTTTTATTATAAATATAAGTGTGTAAAAAGTAAACATTTCCCAGAATAACTTCAACTTGTCGTGCACCGTAACCTTAAAGGACATCAACAGGATTGTTTTTACGTTAGGCCTTTAAAGCATTAAAGCAGCACTGATTAATTTCTTTGGCCACTTGGGGACAGTGATACAAGCTGTAAACACAGCATTTACATGTTATCACATATAAAGTTGTTATGGAGAACATGTTAGCAACAGTTGCTATTTACACACCCAGCAGACACCTGAGACACCCAGACTCCACCTGAGTCCAACATTCACTCTCCTTTTAGCGGTGTTTTGGTCCCCAACAACTCCTGAGGGAAACATCTTGCTCTTTAGTTGCAAAATGCTCCACTATGTTCTAGCTAGTAGTAGCTTTGTCTGTTTGGCGTTTTGGTGCTGGGGAGGTAAAGTACAGTGGATTGCTGAAAACAACGCTGATGAGAGCAGTGAAAATTAACTAAAACAGAAAATCTGTGGGACATAAGACCAAAACAATGAGCTGAAACGTGCTGAAATGCTACAAAGAGATGAAACATGTAGAGCTGCGTGATGATTCTCTGTAGGGGTTGTCACTACAGTCGGCACTTTTCACATTATCTGTAGTCATTTCATTTATTGTCGGTACAAAATTATTGATTAGTGCAGGTTGGCTGTTAATGTGTGTGAATACATACTGAACACTCAGGTGTTGTGGGGATTTTAAAAAAGACATAATGACCAAAGTGTTTGTCTGCTCTTTGCTGTTTAAAAATCAGCTTGAATTTTTCAGTGAATATCACTGGTGGCATTTTTTCCCAATTCCCCTTGTCCCACCACAAGCACCAACATCAATTTAAAATTCCCAGGAGAGAAAGTTAATGTGAGCTTGAGTATTTCAATTATTGGGCAGCTTTGTTTTGTTTCAGCATCGCTCTGAAGTGAAGTGAACACCTGCTTGACACTGAGCAACTGGAAAATGTAGGTTGTGCATATGCTGCTGGCTGCACAACAAATTGCCCTACAGGGATAATAAAGCTGTCCTTGATCATAGCTTCACACTTAAAGCAATTGCTTTAAGTAAAATCAGCAGGTGAAAGTTTACACGTAAGGTGACCAATGGAGCGACTGATATTAAAAGAGATTAGTGCCACCTAAAAATTAATTTTAAATTGCATAGATTTGAACTTGTTATGTATAAACTGAATGAGATTATAGTCTAATTAATACATTAATTTCTTTATATCAAATTTGGTTTACCCACTAGATTTCATACTTCAGATTGAACCTGAAACCAGAGCAGCTTGGGCTGTTTGGAGGAAGCACTCTGGGAACAGAAGTCCCCCATTACCCAGATACAGTGTGCCTGAATCTAAATTTAGATGAACTGAAATCAAATCTTAAATTAACTCAATTAGAAAATCAAATTAACTTTCAAGACATTGTTGGGCCTCATCAGTTAATGTTTATTTAACAGTTCAATATGAGGTCGACAAATTTAAATCAGTGCAATCCGAATACATTATCTGCTAGCACTAATCTCTCCCCATAGACTATCAATTTATAAAAGGTTGGATTAGAGACAGCAGACAAACCGTACTGAATTCACATGTTAAAATCCAACACTAACAGCAAAGTTGGATATTGTGAAAAAAGGTAACATTAATCTGGCAGCTTTTCGCATAAAAAAAGTTGTTTTTTGACGGCACACCAACAAATCTAAGATACGGAGGCTTCTAAACAGGGCTCACATACACCAACATGACAGAGCGTTCAAAACAATACAACCTTTAGTACAACTATACAGCGATGACACAGTTGTAAAAAATAAATGCAGGCTGATACAAGCGAGTTACTTAACTCTACTTCACTTGAACACATGGTTGAACTGAAATGAATGGCTGCCTGGAAGATTGGAAATCAATTGATTAAAAATCTTATGGAACGCTTCTTCGCCACCAATCTAATACAACTGAATAAATTCAGAAATAATGAATAAAAAAAGTCTCTCTATATGATATAAATGGTATGTTCATCTCCATTGTGACCTCTTTTGGCCATAAGTCTGGCACCAAATCTGCAAAGGACACACAACTCAAAAGTAGAATTGGTCACTGGACTCACCAAACACTCTGTTCTGAAACCTGAAGCAGTTGCTGGGGACAGTAGACTCCTCCTGTGTGATGGTAGTCGACTGTGGGGCAGGACGGAGAGCCTGGGTCTGCAGCTTCTGCTCCAGATCATCAATCTCCTCATCGCGGAGGCGCTCCGGCTGACATTAAATGACAAAGATTGCCTAAATTGAATAAAATGAACGCGAACTCGCCCACTGAGAGCAACAATAATTACTTTTTAATGTGTGAGGGTACATCTGCCTCCCACAGGACTTTGGTTTTTGTGTGGTTTTACTGCTCCTTCCCTCCTGTTATTCTCTACCTGAGCACTTTGTTCATCATTTCACACACTGACTCTGGATCTTACTTACATACATACTACATATTAATTGTTACAATATGTACTATAAACTACTTTGTTTTTATAGTTAGTATACAAAAAAATCTAAAAACATTCTAAACCAACAGGAGATAATATAATAATGTATCAGATCAATTAAACTGCAACTTCAGTTGCCAGTTACACTTTACAAAGAGGATGCAAAGTGTTACACTTTTTTTGTTTGATTTTAAGATCTTTCTGGGGATGTCTTATCACCGTCTATAAATTATTTTATTTCTTTTGCCAGTATGAGCTGTGTGACTGGTGTTGTGTTAAGACGGGAAAATACAGCCAAACAAACATAACATGGAATAATAAAGCAATAAAAGTATTTCTGTTGAATTATATTTTTGTGGTACTGGGATATTAATGCTAAATATAATTTAGCAAAGAGCTTAATGCAGCTGCACAGGTCATAGATAGTATGTCGACTGAGAGAGATAACAACTCCTCAATGAACTTATTTCTTTGATCAAATTGAAAAAGTTAACTGTCACTGACTCACTAGAGATTGGTTAGGATGAAGAAATCACCCAAGTACCAACTACTTAAAAAATAGAACCTGAAATCGCCACAGGACAGACTTCTATAATACCTGTGACAGGTGGATGTGCTGTAGGCAAAGTTCCAGCTTGTCCAGATAGAGATCCAGGATGTGTGTGCTGGCCTTGAGCTGGGTTTCCACCGTGAGCTCTTGGGGGAGAGTAAGAAGCCGGCAGGCGTGTTGGGAGAGGGACTGACGCACCGCTCCAGAGCTGTAGCTCTCGAGGAACTGCCGACATGCTTCCACATCCACAAACTTCACCTCCACACCCAGAAAGGGATCAGCATCGTGGATCTTAAGTAACTCAAAACCACCCAGACCTCCGGCAGAATCTGACCATGGAAAATACTCATTAATAAACAGGACGTCAAGAATATAAGATAAAAAAAGAAAATATAAAATATAAGATAAGAAATACGTGTCTTGATAAATGTGTTTTTTATCTTAATCAGACATGATTAATATAACTACTAACTAGTACTAACTAACTAATATTCCAACTAGCGCGCTCACCTATGAGAGTCAGTTTGATGACTTTGAAAACAATGAACTTTTCTTCCTGCCGGTCTTTGTAGAGAGAGAGCAGGTTCACACCAGGTGAGAGCGACTGCAGAAACATGACCGCACATCCTGTCCATGGCCCACGATCCAGAGTTTTGTCTGCCATTCTCTAAAAAAAGATATGAGACATACAGCACAGGGTTTCACTGGTGAGCAGACAACATCAAAAGGTCTGATGTGCAGAGGCTACAAAGAAACTTATAAAGAAATTATAGAGTGGTGAGTTTAGATAGATAGATAGATAGATAGATAGATAATAGATAGTAATAGATGGATAGAATAGAATAGAATGATAGATAGCATTTTAATTTGATCCCAAGCTGGGAAATTGCAGGGTTTTTTTGTTTTTTTTTAGATAGTTTGTGTGTTGCTGTAAAATATTTTGGAAGAATAATTATCTCCATTTTCTTTGGGTATGTTTTACTTCATAACATAAAACATTAAAACACTGAAAGGAAAAGTTAACATCTTCTAGATTTCGTTGCCTTTAAAGAGAAATCAGGATGCTTTTCACCCCATAAAATGCTCAGATTAGCCTCTTCTCTTCAGCTCTGTCTCTTTTTTGTTTCTATTTGATTGTTTCCAGCAGTCGGTGAACCGCTGAGTGGACTGAAAATGTAATTTATTTTTCTCTGTGTATATTTGTAACATCTGTGCGACTGGTGCACAGTCCAACTGCACTTCTCCTCTGTAAAGTGGGATTAATCAATAGAACTGACTTAATATAAGTGACTGCTTTTTGTGTACCTCTTTGAAATAAATGAAAAGGCTTTTTGACAAAGGCCATTATTACATAATACTACATCCATTTCAGAGGATGATATCATGAGACCTAAATAATATTAAAACCCACAAAGAGCAACACTGCCAAAGGATTAGGGATGTAGCAATTCACTATATTAATGATTACATTAAATACTTATACAGTAGTGTGACAAGTACAACATTAATACGTAGTAAATGTTATTATGCCATTCAACTGCGGTTGATCTTTAAGTAGTTTAACATGTCAGACCCAGGTAGAGTGGTTGCTATGGGGCATACGTATATGATTGGAAACACTCGTCGTTTTCACAATCACAATTGCCAAACATTCAATGGGTTGGCTTCTTAAATGTGAGGGTTTGCTGTTTTCTATCATTGTAAATAAAATATATTTGGTCTGTTGGTCGAACCAAACCATCTATTTCAAGACATTTAGATCTGTTAAACTGTTTTCATCATTTTCACTGCAGCCCTACAATATTTTAAAAAGGCATGTGTGTTGATGTTGTCTCAGTTACACCAGACTTGTTCACCAGACTCTGAACTTAATGAAATTTTTGATATGCCTTTCCTTCATCTGAGGCAGGTAATACAATTTACAATCACTTGAGCATTACAGATAATTGCCTCTCTAATTTAACGGCCTGGACCAGTGACAGCCAAAAACAGTGTACATTTCCTCCTGGAGTTAAAACCACTCCTCTCCTGGTCCCTGGTTGCTGTGTCCTCACTCCACTCTACCCTTTTTTACCCCAACCTCCTTTTGAAACCCTCATTACATAAAAACATGTTTAATCTCAGTCCTCCCCTCCCCCAGTCCAGCCCCTAACTCCTGTTCTCTGAATGAACCACTGAAGCCCTAACTCACTCTTGGTGTTGTCTCCATGCACAGGATGCAGAGCGCTCTCTGCATAGACAGAGCATCCTCTGAGCTGGATTATATGCATGTCCTCATGTTGCACTAATACACAGTATGCTTGGCTAGTGGGTCTACAGGAATCTCCACAACTTAGCCTGTATGTAGTTATATGCTATCCTATCTACCGGTACTCTGGAAGTACACTGTGAGATTTGTTCAGCAGCTGTACGAGGATTAAGTGATCATCAGGAGCTTAAAATATATCATTTAGCTTTTGCTGCCAAAAGGCAACCTCTAGTATTCCCTGGACAGTTCATCTGGCATTTAGGTGAGAAAAATATTTGATTCACACGATGTGGTTCCACAAATTGGTAACAAAGTTTCTTGTTCTGTACTGTTGTCTTTAGTGCTTTATAGCTCAACATGTAAACTAAACAGACCTGTAGATGACGGCCTGAAACCCATGTGCCACCAAATGTAACACACTGTAAGCCTCCCACTAATGAGTGTTTTGAGTGTCAATTAATCAGTTGATGATTTTGCTTGATAAATGACTTAAATTATTCAAAATTGTTTGTATTGTCTTTCGTATGATATCTATTCAATCTAGAGGCAGGTAAATACAGACGTATCTTGGGGGGGAAACAAAAAATGTTGACATGAAGTCACACTTCTTGTGTTTACAGTAAACCTCAAAGAAACAAAACAGGTCAAACATGTCGTTTTTAATTAACACACTTCTTGTCCTTACGTGTACTAAATATAAAAGCTGTGCACACACACACACACACAGGTGTTACCAGTTATGCTGAGTAATTAGATCACATGCCGTGCTCATTATATAACTCCAATGTATATAATATAAACTGTCTGCAAACAAACAGGGATACTTCACGTCCAACGTAAAACATACATTTAATGAATATCGTGCTATACTGTCAGTGCACAGTAATGTAACAATACCAACTCTGTAATCACATGTCTTGAGTTGTCCTGTAAATGTCATAAACATGGGAGTCAGATTAGTTGGATGAAGCTATTCTGGGTATTACAGGACATCAGCAAACTCCATGTACTGCAAGTTTGTTGTACCCTGTGAGGGACGGGCCAGTCAAGCATGGTCTGTACAGTACATCAGTCCTGAGTCTAATCAGGCAGAATAAATGAAAACACCTGTGCAGGTGGACCATGGGTGTAAAGGTTCACAGGTTACAAATAAAGAGTTGGTTGGTGTTTTCATTCCTTACAAGAAACATCTGCCTTAAGGCCACTGAAAGCATTAGTGTTATTTGACCAACTGCAAACTGACAGACAAGGTAAGTGACAATGAATTACAATAAGGAGCCTAAATCACTTGTATTAGTGATTGTAGTGTGCTGAAATAATTGATCAATTAATCAATCAACTGAAAAATTATCAACAAAACAAAAATTTGCAGATGCCTCTTATTGGCTTTAGTTTAACTTTAGGATGATTTATTTTACATAGGCTGAGTAGGGCTGCACAATGAATT